CTTCCTCGATAATTGAAATAGACTTGATCGAGTGTTCCATATGTGACTTATACAAAGATTTGAATCAGATGAATTTTTCGATGTGATTCTTCTTATGCTTAAATTAGTATTTGACAAGAGAGAAATAATTTTGATAAACAATAATTGACTTCAATTATTATGATTCAAATAGTTTTTAATAACAAATAAGTCGAAAAAAATATTCTATGATACAAGTAGAATATTCCCATAGCATATCATTTTTGAGACACAAACATAATTTTTGGGAATATTCCCATAACCTATCATTTTTCTCCTAGTATATCATTTTTGGGTATAGAATATACTATTTTCTTGAATGGCTATTTTGGATTGGCGTTGGCTTATCTTAAAATATTTTAAGGTAATAGAAACTATAAATAAAATATTTAAGTATTCTAAATTTAATTAAATTTATGATTTTTTACGTATATCAATGATAATAAAATATTCATATAATCGATCTTAAAAATTTTCTTACTATCGTTGTTATTGTTTAATAAAAAAATAATGATATAGTTCATCCTAAATAGTTGAAGGATTACAATTTGTTAAAATTGTTGCTATAAAAAGGGTAAGAGAAATATTTTATACACCTCTTTTGCCAAACACATAATTTAACGTTAAGTTGAACTTTGTATATATCTTAATAGACGGAGCTAATTATTGATGACAACAAAGGTCAACACACTAACTTAGGTATGACATTAAAAATTTATATTTTATTTAAAAAGAGAAAGATACTAGATCAACGAATTGAATTGAAACTTAGATATACGATATATGTTAAGATCGTCGATGGAAATCTATGGATGAGGAGCTTTTGACCTCGTGAGGTAGTATCATGCTCTCAAACATGCATAAAAGAAACTAATGTTGAGTGTTCCTGATTTGATCTATTCGATACCTAGATTAACATATGAAGTGAATAGAGACTCAAAAGGTTCTAAGTTCAACTTAGCAATGATCACTGGCATGATCGATCTGACGTAATGATAATCAACATGATAGATTTGATGTAATAATTACTAAAGTGAGATAGATCCAAACACTTTTTTTTTTTGACATCCAAGTTGTTGATGACATACACAAAAAAATGAGATTCTATAATTGAACAAAAAAAAAAGATCTTACCTTACCTATTCTCCAATTAATGATATACATACATATTCACCAAAGCATTTATAAATAAAATAATAATTTAACTTTGTAGAAAGCACCACTAGATTATCATATTATGGTTTTCAAGATTTCTTTTGTCCGAAAGTTTCGTCTTAGCAATGCTATAATGAACAAAGGCATTTTGTATTAATATAATTATAATGCACGAAATTAATTCACCAATACAATCATGTTAAAGTTAGCATGTATGAATGGATTAAGAATATATTAAAACCAACTTAATTAATAAAATAAGAAATTATAATATTTGTGACATCGAATCCCTATGAACTTTTTATATGGCATATGATAAAAGGGGTTTCCATTGTAAGTTCGAAAATAGCATACTTATTGGTTCGTATATAAAATAGAGTATATGACCCTCAAAATGTGTACGCTTTGCACATTATCTCATTGGTATCCGTCCAATAAATTTAAGTTAATTGTTGTTAACTATGGTACTTTTAGTGCTTTCATTATAAACATTAAAGGGAGAAATATAAAATTACTATATATAGAAATATATGAAATATATTTGAAGGAAATCAACAACAAAACTATAGTATTTATCTATGTTTTTGAATTTTTATAGAAATATTTAGGTTAATATAGATTTAAAAGTGTAAGTATGAATATATATGTAAAATGAATATTCGAAATTGATTTGGTTTCAAGTCAAATTGAATCATGATTATTATAAAATTGATTTGGTTTCAAGTCAATTGTATTCAACCAATTTGATTTATTAATAGTAGATTTTTAATTATCCGACATGTCAGAGATTCAGAGTGGAGATTTCTGAAGTAGAAAATATGTTTGTGTATTTGAATTATTCGAGAGAATCGTATACTTAGAGATTTTTATAAAGATCTCGGATAATCATTAGAGTTAAGTGGGCAATTAATTCGTGAGGTAGTAATGCAGAATCACATATCGTTATTAGATCATGAGGGTATCTATCGTCGAGCATTATGATTGTCGCACATAGGCTCACCCGAATAAAGTGAGGAAGCCTCGATTAATGCATTTAGATAATTGAATATCCAAGATGAAGCTTACCTTAATAAGATGAGAAAGTCTCGACTAATGATGATGTCAATGAACGAATAACATTCGATCAACATGTCGAACTAACAAGATGAGCAGTAATATATCGAATTATCTATTTGTGAGATCCAATAATTATAATAAGATCAGTTAAATAATTTTTTGATCATCACTTACATAGTTTCATTCAAATGTAAGATATATACGATTCAATTATCATCCTGGAATAAAAAATATGAGATAAATCTAGTTAATTCTAACATGAATTCATTCAAGCAGGTGCTCCTAAAATTATCTTTACTATCCTAAAATTATATTAAATGATATGCAGGATGCCAAATGGAAAATCAAAATTACATGACTAAATGTAAAAGGTCAGGCAATCATTTTCAATCATCATCATCATAATCGAACCAAGATGTTGATTAGAATCAAGATTAGTGTTCCATAGAATGATTTGAATTGGCATGTACAAATTGAACCCAAAAGTTAAAGCTAGGGTTTAGATAACCCATCCATGATGGAAGATATAGAAGAATAAAGCCACAAAGGTCTCCTCCATAAGACAAAAGTACAAATGCTTCGGCTGCACATACACACCTACTACCACAATATGTGCTGCAGCTACTGATCTCACTTTATTCCCTCTACTGCAAATTTTTTTTATGTACAAAATAAAAAGAGTATAAAGACAAACCTTTTTGGATTTTATGGTACCAATTCATTATTTTTACCTTTATCTTTTTATCTTTTCTTTATTCTTTTTTATTGTAGGGGGGGTTAGGAAGATTAATAAAAATTATTGTCAAAGGTGACATAGCAAGACAAGTAGGACAACTGTAGAGTTACATAGGAAGGCATTTACCCATTAGATTGTGGTGGATTATTGGGTGTATGCTGCATTGGGAATGAAGGTAGAAAGTTATGAAAGGTTGACATCAAGTTGGATGCCCACTAAAGGTGACCACAGTACATTGGTAGGTAGCTCAGTATGGAACTTAGTGGAGTATGGATCATTCATACATCATAGCTCGACTAGTGAAACATCATGTTTCATTCTTGTCTCACTCTACCCTCTTGTCTGAATCTGACATGTATGTATGTGGGTCTTGTTTTGGAGTACATACATGTACTTGAATGAGAACTTCAATGGGTCCAATTCAACTCACTCAAATGTCTATTTTGATCAACCCAACACCGCCCTTTTTTAAAAATTAAATACAAATAATTTTCTACTATGTTAAAAATATTTTTTATTTTTGATAAATTATTCATATTCAGGAAAAACCATATGATCGATTCTTGACTTGACCTTAGTTGATGTATTCACCAAACAGGTCCATGGATTCATAAGAAAGTGATTTGCCGCAATGGTTCATCCATGGAAATGCTGATGTCACCATCGTGTCAGCATTCTATTGGTCACCGAACCAGGGGACCAAATGAAGAGCCGTCAAGCAGACCGCCACCGGGAGGTCCCTCTTGCGTGCGTGGTGTCTCGACAGAAATATAGTATCGGTTGGTGAGAGAGATTCCACGTCATCGAGAAAAGTATTCGACGGGACGCTTTTGGCAGAATCTAATCGGACCGACCAGATGATCCAAATCTTGAATCGGGTGGGGCCCTGCTGACCTCACGTGATCTCAGCCGTTCAATCCCAGGATCTTGTCGGGCTACCCTCGGTAGCCATCGGACGGCAGCAACGATCAGGTCCGGTCTGTACCTATCGACTCTGGGCCGTCCATATGGTGGTCCCCGTTGTGGGTCCCGCAACGCCATCGCTTCCCTTCTCTTTCCCTGAACCGGTCTGATCTGACCGGTTGATGTGACGTGGGGCGGACCCTCCACGCCGGGCGACCGAGTTCCTGCGGACCCTGCGTGCCCGGGCTACTGTCCACCGGAGGATCACGATCGTACAGTGGAGAAAGCATCGTGGGGGCCGCCGGAGAGTCTCGTCATCTCACCAGCCGTTGGAGAGGAGCGGCGGTGGGGAGCTACCCTTTCGGCTTTGGCGCTCGGCTCGCTTGCCGTCATGGGAAGATGCCTCGCGATTCGTGCGGTGCGGCGGGCGCGGGTTTCCACGGTCAGAAGTGGAGCCGCTTGGCCCTTTATTTTATTCCTCTGTTCTTTGGCGGCAGCCGCTTAGGCCACTGAATTCGTCGTCGTCGTCCTCTTTTTACTAAATGGGTTTGGCGTGGGTGTATGGCTCTCAGGATCGACGCTTATCGACGAACCGAAGAAAGCATGTTGGACGCACGAATTTTAAAGACGGTCCGATGGATACAGAAGAAGAAAGGATGCTACATGGTAGCAGCAGGAACTGCACCAGAGAAGGAAGTTGTCCACCATGAACGCATTGGGGGTGGGGGGGCAACTTAGGGGAGAAAAGGGCGACACAATCATCTCAAATGAACTGTCAGAAGGATCCAAGCTGAGCCGCGAGAGACAAAAAGCCTGTTGCCTCCTGGTCGTTTAAACCCCTTCGAGACCTTCAAACCAAGCAAAAGATCGAAAGAGGAACAAGCGTAGCGGTGAAGGCTCAGGAAAGCAGTACCCTTTTGCGTTTGCGACGTCATTTCGGGGTGTCTCTCCCTCGCCCCCCCATCCCCTTTGCAGACCTTTCACCGAACACCTATCGGGACAACAAAACAACGAGCTTAACAGGTTTCTTTTGAATGGAGATCATAACATTGATATGCTGCTAGGAATGGAGATCACAACATGTTGGCTATAATGCCATGTTACTTCAAAGATCATACGTGTTGAATTAATTGAATTGGGCCAAGACTCCAAAATTTGCACAGAGATTACAGAAAGCATTTCTAACCAAAGATTTCTACGTCAGCTCTCATATCATCTTGTTGGATACAAGGAAGACTTGTGTTCTTCGCTTTGGGGCTTCAGTCTTCTTATGTAGTGGAGGAACCCCTTCCTTCCTTAAGCCCATCGGAGCCTGGAAGAGTTATTTGGTTGGGTGGGTTATAGTGTGGACATGGCTGAGCTGACAAAGTTGGCATAGATTGGTTGCTTTATCCCACTCTCTCACATTAATATATTAAACGAAAATTAATATTAAATAAATATAAAAATTAAAAAATATATTTCCTTAAATGAAGGGCTGATCTCCTCTGAGATTTTTTTCCTTCATTCTTTACTGGGCCAAGCTCGAGAGGAACAAAGAGTTGGATTCTGTTGAGGAGAAATAAGTTTTTGTACCTTTCTTAAAAATAATTTTTTTTATTTTGATTCCTTAAACGTTAAAATTTTTATAGTTTGAGAATATTTATCAATCCTTTTAATTTTAAAATATTTATTATTAAATTAAAATATATTATATAAAGTTTTTAAGATTTTTTTTATCTCTTTTAAAGGTTTTTTTTATCTCTTTTAAATATTTATTTTTAGAATATTATTTTCTCATATTGTAGTTTATCTTTTAATTTTATCTATATTAAAATATGTTATAAGTAGTTGAAAAATATTTCTTAATCCTTTAAAATTTAAAAATTTTATTGTTAGATTAAAATATATTATCTGATTTTTTAAAATATTTTTTTAATTTTTTTAAAGTTTAAAATTTTATTATTTGATTAGATTATATTAAAATTATTCATGTCATATGTAGTGGAGAGCGGATTTTCCTAATTTTTTTATATCATTAGGTAGAGCTAATAAGGATTTTTTTGAGTTAATATCACTATGTTATTCAATAATTTTTTTTTACTTATGAATAAATTGATAGAAAAGATACGATCAATAACGCGCATGAAAAAGCATGGGTCCCACTTCCGACTAGAAAATATTCATCAGCGAAATGCATTGTCACGCCAAGTTGACTCCACATGTTTATTACGTTATATTTCTTTTTAGCACGTCATGTCGTTCATCATTGTCTTAGTAGCGAAGTAGAATCCGATCAGATAAGAAGTGCCCGATGATGCTCAGCCTCACGTTTTATTTCCAAAAATAAATAAATAAATGCGAGAATAATATCCAAATTGTTTGGAGCTTTTAAATGCATGCCATGATCCATTAAGTCTGGAAAGCTTTGGGCATCATTTGAATCGAACAAATTCTACAAACAGATGCACGTAGCAAGTGATGATACGAAATCAACGATCAATTAAAATGAATTCTACATGATATGAAACAGCGTCAGATAAAAGAGAAAACGATAACAAGAAGAACCCAATCAGACAAGAACAAAGAACACCACCATCGGAGGCTGCCATGGTGGGACTTCAAGCCTTCCGACGCCACCAGCGGAGGCACGGCAGAAACAGCGATCTCAGGATGCCCTTCAAAACACCCCCTCGCCTAAACGGAGGCTTCGCTCCGGGTGTCTTCGCCGGTGGACGTGCGGGCCCCGCCATGGAGAAGAAGCGAAGCCGAGGAAGGATGAATTGATGGCAGCGGAAAGTTCTTTGGTGCTTTATCTTGAGTTACCAAGCAGGAAATTTATACTGTATCGAGCGAGCTAAGCATCGATCCCACGCGTTTGCCCACTTCGACAAAGCGATATCACTTCCATTGAAGCTGACGAGCTGATGTCGACATGAAGAATTTGCTTTAGCAATCTACGCGGTTTTATATCGTTCGTCAAGGATTTCTACGTGACATTTCATTTCGATAACACGAGTAGATAAGCTGTAGAGTCAAACCTCAAGGATGTGTCAGTGCTCCAGTAGAAAGATTTCCTTTGGCTTTCTTTTGGATTTACTTGAATTCAATCGAGTCATGAGCGACCTCGATAGCTTGACTAATATATCCCGGCAGCGGAACAAAAGTCGGTTGACTGATAGCTTCTTTCTCTTTCTTCTCGTGTTTGCACCACCTTCATTCATGCTCTGTTCTTTCTCGTTTCTCTTTGCTTCAGTCGCTATCTTCCGACTCGAAAGAAAAAGTGCAGGTGAACCCAATTTCTTAGTTTGTGTCAAATTGCTAATAAATAATGAGTAAAGTAAAGAAAATTACTCCTGTAGGCACCAAAATTATCATTAGTAGTCCATATTCACACTGCGCTGCCGTAGCGTATGGTTTGTGCGAGGCGAACGCGTGGGCCCGCCGTGGACCGCGGGGACGTCCGCGGGGCCCGCCACGGATGGTGAGGGAATCGGCCGTCCTGGCGACGCTGACGTACGCGGCCAGCGCGTCATCGAGTCCAGAGAAAACCGCGTCATCCGCTTCCCAGGCGGGTCAGTGCACCGGATGGTGACGCGAAAGGCGACATCACCCGTGGGGAGAGGATGGATTACGCCGAGTTAATAAATTTTATTTTCTTATTTTTTTATTCTTTACATTAAATGACATGACGTTCGCATATGAAAAGGAATCTGAACTTTATTATTTATATAATAATACACTAAGCAATTGGATATGAGATGATTATGGAGGAAAAATGGGATGGGTTTAAACCCATACAACATATCTCAATTTGTTGAACTTTCACAAAATTTTAGTAGGTTTTATTACAATATATCATTCATCATAAAACAGCAGAGTTCCATACACTCACAAAATAGCAGAGTTCCATACCTTCATTCCATTAACCCGGAGAAGACTCAGGTATCTGCTTCCCGCCGCCATTTGATACCATGGAGTGGAGGCTGCAGGAAGATCTCCTTTGTTTCCCCTTCTGTGTCTCCTTCTCTCTCGGCGTTGCAGGGTCAGATGGGAAGAAACAGGGGAGGAGTCTCTTGATGATGCACCAAAGCACATGACCCCTTTGTGGTACGTACCGGGGATGGCGACTCGATGATGGCATCAGACTTGGCTTACCACCTTCGAAAAGAGAAGATTAGGTTTGAGAGGAGGGAACTCGAATGCAACTGCAAACTCAATCTGTTGTCTACCTCTTCGAAGCTGAAGAGGAAGCAGAGTGAGCTGCCGTCGTTCCAAGTGTCTCCTCCATGGGAAGATATAAGTTGCATAATGGAGAGGGAATATATGCGGTCTTCCCGAGTCGAACTATTCTGTCGGTTTAGTGGGATCTGCAGCATCGTCGCCGGCTGAACAAGATCCAGAGTCGGCTCCTTTCTCAGTATTGTTTCCAGAAAGGACTCTCTGCATAGATTTGGACGGGACTGACCAAGTGATGCAGGAATAAACTGGGAACGAATGAGAACAGGGGATTGAATGCTTGAGGAACGAGTAAGACTGTTGTTCTGCGAACCAAATAGTATCACCACACCATCTATATTTATGGTTTTCAAGTTACCTAGTAGATAGAGAAATAAAATTTCACTAAATCTTTTATTTGTAGTGTATTGTAGCTGTCAATCAAAATCCTCTTTCTTCGATTGGAACGTGGATTTGGAGTCGATCCTTTTTTCTTTATTTCATGTTTTTGGTGTCGAAAAATATTAAATCTTGATGAATTCTTAGTGTTCCTATCAGGGAATATTATGACGCCAATCATGACCCATCATTGCCACAAAAGAGCTAACGTTGAAGACAAAGATCAAATCACCCCCCACTCGACGGTAATGTGGGGGGGGGGAGGTAACGACTTCTCAGCTTCTATAGATAACAGTTCACGAGAGGTCATTCGGGCAATGGTCTCAAGGTGGCTGATCAGATCTCCTCCCCCCTTGGTCAGCTTCTACAAGCAATAGACCACAAGGAGCTATTCGAACCAGTTGCCCATGTGGACAAGCGACAAAAAGAAGGTGCTGAGGCGGTTACGAATGGTCCACTTGGTCTCCCAAGTATAAAAGCTGACCCTCTGCACCTACCCAGGGGTTAGGTCTCTCTTATTATATGTCATTCACCCCCACAACTCCACAATACTAACTTGGGCATCGTAGGGGTCGGGTTGAGAAATCCCCCTCGATGTTGACCTTAATGCAAGACCCTTGAGGAGACAAGAGTTCACCTAGGACCAGTCTTGAGACCATCTTAGGAAGCCGGAGACTCCTCTAAAGCCACCTCTAAGCCACCACAGATAATTTGACATTGCGTCAACCTCCTTGTCATATCGCCACGAGGGTTGCTTGGATGACTTTATGCATTCAGGGTCAATACCAAGTCATGTCGACTCCTAGTTGATTGCATCAAGACCATAATATTTTCGGCGCTAAAAAAAGAAAACCTGAATTTGCAAGAACGTCCACCGACAAACCCCCTTAATGAGCAATCTATTGAGGAGGTGCTGCTACTCATACACAACAGTTTTGTGCAAGGAGGACAACCGCCATCCTTCCCTCAAGTGGACACATCCATCTTGGCTCAAACCCCAGGGTGCTAGGTGCAGACCCTGAGCCTTACGCACTAGGTGCAGACCCTCAAACCCTCATTGGCATGATGCAAGCCATCGCCTTACTCCTGCCTTGGCTAGCTTAACAGGCAATGCCCCATTCATAGTTGTGATTAGTGGCTCAACCATCGCCTACCAATTGGACCACCGCGCTCCCCGACGGTGGAATTTAATCATAGGCCAACTTGCCAGAGTCAGAGACCCAATCAACCGGCTCGATGGATGACTTACTAAGAGCATAACTGTGACCGATGAATCAGCACCTAGACGAGGTAAAATTAGAGTTACAATAATTGAAGGGGTAAGCAAATGACCCCACCTCAGGCCATTCCACATTTGTCCAAAGTATCCAAGAGGAACTACTCCCAACCAACTTTCGCCACCTATCATTGGATGCTTTCAATGATAGCTCCGACCAAATGTGCCCAAGGCATATGAGTTGAGAAATTCGACATACGCCAAGAAATCACTATAATGGAGGCTTGGGGCTTAATGAAAGTGAGGTGTGTGAGTCGAAAAATCTGATCCACTCCAAGATATCCACTACGATAGAGACTTTCAGGCCAAATGTGCTCGAGGCATGTGAGTCAAGAAATCAGTCTCATGCCAAGATTTTCACTATAGTGAAGGCTCCGAGACCAGTGAACCTGAGGCATGTGAGTCGAGAAATCTGACCCATGATAAGAGTTCTGTTATAGCAGAGGCTTCGGGCCGAATGTGCTGGAGACATGTGAGTCGGAAAATTCAATCCACACTAAGTTTTTTACTACAGTGGAGGCTCTGTGTCGAATGAGTCTGATGCTCGTCATAAGTGTCATGCAAGCTAATCACTTGAGTGATGACACGTGTGATATGAAACACATTCTTTTTTTTTTATTATATTATTTGGTATTTCATCACTTTATATTGCTTGTTATATATATGTGATATTCATAGATCTATGTAATGAGAATCGAATCATGATGAGATCACGATAATGAGATCGATTTATCTTTAAACATAGACCCTAAATAATCCTGGTCATAAGTTACTCGAGAGGAAAATCAAGATAACCGAATAGACTGATATGTTATATACTCGTACATATGATGGAAATAGTTGATGTTATAGATGTTTGTGTGGGGACACCAAGGCTATAGTGTAGGTATTCAACGGAGAATGAGTTCACTGATTGATCCGCTCATGGAATGATGAATGGTTGATGATTCGTTATTATAAGACAACGATTCCGTAGTTCCAACAATATATCTGATCCTTACACTTGGGACACCAAGGATATCCTATATGGGTACTCCACTCTTTGATTCCAGACTTATAGATTTTGAAGTTCTAGATCTAGTACAACCGGTCATTGGGAGTGACAGCTAATCTTACAAGGGCTATTGAGTATTAATAGAGGATCATCCGCTCTCGATATTATTAGAGAAATATCTTATGTGTTCTTGCTCAAACAAATCCTTAGCCGTTATTAGGATTAAGAGAGAAAGAGTTCTCCGGAAGAATTCGATTAAAGCAAAACACAATAAGAAACTATATGGGCATGATAGCACCATGCCCGGTATATGGTCTTTGGGATATTAGATGGATGAGAGACTATAGATACATGGTAACTGAGGACAGATATGTTCAAAGGATTGGATTCTCATGTATCGTCTAGGGACTGTGGCATAGTGACCTAGTATATCCGCAATCGATGAGTCGAGTGAATTATTATGGAGATAATAATTCACCGAGTTAGAATGAGTTCTAGCAAGTATGACTCATAACCAGCTCGATATTGGGCCTAGAGGACCACACACATATGGTAGGTGTTGCGACGAGTAGATATTCAAATATGAGATATTCGTCGAAGCCCTTATCTTAATGGATATCCGTTAAGCCTATGAATTATTGGATCTTATGGATGAGATCTAATAAGAGCTAATAAGATATTATTGGGTAGCGATTCACTAATCTAAGAGGCTTGGGTAATTGGATGAAGATCTAGTACCCAATAGGGCAGGATCCATTAGGTTTAATTAAGGGCCTCTATAAGTATGAGGGAACTAAAGGCCCATGGATTGGGGCTTCCTGGTTGCCACCTCCTATTCTCCTCTCCATTCTCATCCTTAGATAACAGGCCTAGAGATTTGAGAGGCATCGTCATAACCCTATTGTGTGGATTACCGATAAAGAGGCGGACGTTTGACTTCCTTCATCCTTTTCTAGAGATATATAGGGATTCAGGGATATACGATCTCCCTTAGTAAAATACATCTATCTCACACGTGGACACCTTTATGAAAAATTTAAGGTTTTGTTTTATGTTCTTTTGTTATACATGTGATGTTGCTCCTAGATTTCCCTACACCCGAGGCATGTGAGTTAGGAAATATGATATATGTCAAGAATTTTGCTACAGCAGAGGCTCCGAGCCGAATATGCCCGAGACATGTGAGTCAAAAAATCTGACCCATACCAAGATTTCAACTACAATGGAGACTTCAGGTCGAATGTGCCTCAAGCATGTGAGTCGAAAAATTCTACCCATGCTAAGATTTCTGCTATAGCGGAGGCTCCGAGTCAAATGATCCTAAGGTGTGTAAGTCGGGAAATTCGAACCACACCAAGATATCCTCTACGATGGAAGCATAAACTTGATGTACTTGAGTTATCCAAATCGATATAACTCGAGTGGTGAAAGGATACCTCAATCAATGAGAAGGCTGAACGATGTGCCTCGAACCTCTTTGCAAGAGCCTCGAGACATGCCTTCAAGGGGAAGAACAAATGATAGAGAATATTTTGGCAACAATCATGACTCACTAGTTGACCATCACAAAGGAGCTGATGTGGGGGACAAAGGCCAAATCAACCCCCACTCAACAACAACATGGGGGAGGTAACGACCTATCGACACCCATAGACAACGGTCCATGGGAGGGCGTTCAGGCTAATCCTTTCGATCGCCTTGGGTAGTGGTCCTCAAGTGGTCGATCATATCTCCTCCCCCCCTTGGTCGGCCTTTATGAGTGATAGGTCGTAGGGAGTCATTTGGACTAGTGCCCATGTGGACAAATGACAAGAAGAAGGCATTGAGGCTGTTACAAATGGTCTCCTCAGCCTCCCAGGTATAAAGCCGAGCCCTGACACTTACCCAGGGGTCAGATCTTTCTCACTATATGTCGTTCACCCCAATAACTCCACAATAGTAACTTGAGTGTCAGAGAGGTCGGGTTGAAAGACCCCCGAGGTGACTAGAGCCCACCTTAGACCAATCTCGAGATCACCTTAGAAAGTCGGAGACTCCTCTAAAACCATCTCCGAGCCACCATGGACACCTCGATACTGCGTCAATAACCCTGTCAGATCACTACAAGGGCAACCTAGATGACTTTACGCCTACGAGTCAAGATCAAGCTGTGTCGACTCTCGATTGATGGCATGAAGACCACAACAGTTTCAAACCTTGTATAACTACATAGGAGCATGCCCAACAAATTCCCTTTGATTCTAATGTTAGTCTAGGAAATGAGATATCGATAAGTGCTAAGTCTTCCGTGTTGGGCTGATAGCCCATATTCAGCCCATGTGGGCTTTATCAGCCCACAGGTTAGATCAAATCTACAGTAGGCTCTTGCTGTGATTACTTGGGAGGTTTTAGATATTGTGGGCAGTGACGTGATCCTTGTATCCCAGTTATTCTCTTGTGGTTGTTGCTAGGGTTTTGGGCAAGAGATTGAGATTTGTATATTCATTATTCTCATAGTGGATTATCTCTAGTTTGCCCCGTGGTTTTTATCCTTCACATTGAAGGGGTTTTCCACGTATATCTTGGTGTTCTGTTTGATTGTGTTTCCATTTTATTCCGCTGCGTATTTTGGTCTTCTAGTAGTTGTTCCTATACAAAGGTTATTCCTGTTTATATCCCCATCAACTGGTATCAGAGCGGGGTTTTGGTGATTTAATTTTTGTATTTGAACATGGAGGCCAGTAATATTTCTCGCATGATTAGTTTGAATGGAAATAATTGGATGATATGGAAACCAAGAATGGAAGATCTCTTGTATTGTAAAGATTTGTATGGACCTTTGCAGGGGGATAGTGCAAAACCTATAACTATGACAGATGATGAGTGGAAGAGGTTAGATCGAAAAACAATTGGGTTTATTAGACAGTGGCTTGATGATAGTGTCTTTCACCATGTTTCTACTGAAATTTCTACATATTCTCTTTGGAAAAAATTGGAAAGTCTCTATGAAAGAAAAACAGCTGGCAACAAAGCTTTTTTGATCAGAAAACTTGTGAACCTAAAATATAGAGAGAGTGCTTCTATTGCTACAGAGGGCAATGGAAGCTCAGTAAGGGTTCTCTTATTATAGCTAATGGAAAGAAATGTCATACTTTGTACAGGTTGCAGGCTAAAGCTTATGGTGAGCAGTTAAATGCTACAGAGAAAGACTTCAGTATGGAGTTGTGGCATAGGCGATTGGGACACATGAGCGAGAAGGGGCTACAAGCTCTTTCCAAGAGAGAGGTATTACCAGATCTCAGAGGTATACATATGAACCCTTGTATTGATTGTTTGGCTGGTAAACAACATAGAGTTTCATTTGCTAGTGTTGCTTTGTCTAGAAAAATGCATGCCTTAGACCGTGTTTATACAGATGTATGTGGTCCTTTGAGGACAAAAACTCCTGGTGGATCTGTTGATGTTCTTGGTATAAGTAGTGCACTTTATTTTGTCACTTTTATAGATGATTTTTCCAGGAAAGTTTGGGCTTATGCTTTGAAGACCAAAGATCAGGTTATTAATGTATTCAAAGAGTTTCATGCCAGGGTTGAAAGGGAGACAGAAAGAAAATTGAAATGCATAAGATCAGATAATGGTGGTGAGTATACGGGATTGTTTAATGACTATTGTAGGTCACATGGGATCCAACATGAGATGACAGTTCCTGGTACACCCCAGCATAATGCAATTGCAGAGAGGATGAACCGCACTATCATGGAAAAGATCAGATGTATGCTTTCACAGGCCAAGCTACCCAAAAGGTTTTGGGATGAGGCTTTGAGGACTGCAGTTGATGTGATCAACTTATCACCATGTACAGCCCTAGATGGTGATGTTGTAGAGCATGTATGGTCAGAGAAAGATGTTTCCTACATGCATTTGAGAGTATTTGGTTGTCATGCATTTGCACATGTTCCAGATAATGAGAGGTCCAAGCTGGATGGTAAGTCTAAAGAATGTATTTTTCTTGGTTACTCATATGATCAGTTTGGTTACAGGCTTTGGGATCCAGAAAAGCAGAAGGTGTTCAGGAGCAGAGATGTGGTCTTCTTTGAGGATTTGAAGAAGAAGGCACCAGCCAAGACTTCTATAGAAGGATTAGCAGATTGTGACCCAGTTATTCCTCCAGTATATCAGGGTGATGGGGGAGATGTGCAGGAAAATAGTGTAGAGCCTGATGTTGATTTACCTGCAGGACATGTTGAGCAAGAAGAAGTAGGAGAGCAAGTTCCCGCAGAACCTCAATTGAGAAGATCTTCTAGACAACGTCAACATTCCAGAAGATACTCTACAGATGAGTATGTGATGCTTACTGATGCAGGTGAACCAGAGAGTTACCAGGAAGCAATTGAGAGTGAGCAGGAAGAGAAGCAGTTGCAGCTTCAGAAAAGTCATACAGATGACAACGGAGCAGACATGTTGACGAAGACCTTACCAAAAGAGAGACAGGAGATATGCCGACAGTTGGTCGGTATGGCTTCACATTGAGGAGTCATGGGACAGCCTCCCTTATGGGCTGAAGGGGGAGGTTGTTGGGCTGATGGCCCATATTCAGCCTATGTGGGCTTTATCAGCCCACAGCCCACACCCCCTCTTAACCTAACCCTAATTAAGATTAGGGGGGTGTGGTGGCTGCGTTTTAGAGGCATATTAAAGCTATAAAAAGGCAGCAACGAGGCAGATTTTTGGAGCCACGAGATTCCAAAGAGAAGAAGGAGAACAAGGAAGAAAAGGAAGAGAAAGAAAGAGAAGAAGATAAGGACAACGCAAAGAGACTGTTCACAATCATCTAGTAGTGTTCTCATCTCAGGTTAGATCAAATCTACAGTAGGCTCTTGCTGTGATTACTTGGGAGGTTTTAGATATTGTGGGCAGTGACGTGATCCTTGTATCCTAGTTATTCTCTTGTGGTTGTTACTAGGGTTTTGGGCAAGAGATTGAGATTTTTATATTCATTATTCTCATAGTGGATTATCTCTAGTTTGCCCCGTGGTTTTTACCCTTCACATTGAAGGGGTTTTCCACGTATATCTTGGTGTTCTGTTTGATTGTGTTTCCATTTTATTCCGCTGCGTATTTTGGTCTTCTAGTAGTTGTTCCTATACAAAGGTTATTCCTGTTTATATCCCCATCATTCCGAAGCTAAATGCTTAAAAACCCTAAGAATTTTTTAATATCTTAAGAGAAACACTTGAGGTATCTTTTATAGTTTGAATTCACGATCGTTATACTCAAGATGTGCATTGATATCGAGAACGACTACGTGTTTCTTTCGATCCTAGTGGAATCATGCATGCCAAACTTGAAAATTGTGCACTAGCTTTGACATGGTTGGTAACGTCTAAGCATTTCCGCGTGGAGAGAATTATATTTGTTTTATTTCCAGAAGGTTTAAGTTCACATTTGTGCTTCTTTGCAATCTCTTTCCTTCCCATTGTTTCTGCACTCCGCAGGAAGAAACAACCTATGTTGACTTGCAAGCACTGTATCACTCTTTCGCCCCAGCTCCGTGCGTCTTCCTCGAAATCATGCTCCTGCTCAGTGTGCTTGCAACCGAGTGCCCATCTCAACTGGGTGATCGAGCAACCGTCACGAAGGAGCACCGAAGAAGCTGCAGAGAAAACTTCCACAGAATCATAGAACCCACTTCGTTTTCGTTGCCCACCTATAAGTATATTAGTAATAGGCGAGAAAGAGAGAGAAAAAGCGGGATCCCCGAGGCCGTAATCTCCTCCCGATGGCAATCCGCAGTCATGGAGAAGGAGAGAAGCCGAGTCCAATCCCCAGACCGGGCCACCATCCACGGTATATACCAAATAGGGGGCAGGTACTGAAGAGGATCGTCAAGTGCCTCGTGGGCTTCTTAGTACCGTCGACTGCACCAAAGGCAAGGTCAGCTCCCTTGTCGGTCCTCCGTCACCAGGGAGAAGACAAGGGAAAGGCTGCTCGCTGATTAATCTTCCCATTTCAGGCGATCCAGTGATCTACCTCTTGCATGCAGATCCAGCGAAATGTGTTTAGCTTACTGCTCTACGGCCTTTCTTCTCTCTTAATATAGGTCGTCTCCTTCGTCTCGAATCAGAAAAAGTCCTCGAATCGATGGCATGATGCGGTTTGTGTGACTAAAGAACTACTGGATGTATCACTCGGGAGCTTTGGATTTGAATGAACAGGTGATACAGACAACTATTTCTCGTATGCTACAAAACAGATTTATTTTGCTGTTCTTTGAATCTTTTCTTGCCCCCTTACGCAATATGGTAGTACAAAACTTATTTAATCGACTCCCAATCGGCTCATTTAACATACAATCTGAGCATAGTATTTATTCCAACGACGAGTACTCCTTTTAGACTTGTTAGCGCTTGGGAGTCAGCCGAAGGCAAGAGGGATATCTTTTTGATTTCTACACCGTATCCAAAGAATTGTCTGTAAGCTTCGATTGGCTTATGAGGAGGATGAGCCCTCTAATATTCTTGTTATGCCGCCGTAAGCTCGGCGATCTGTTCATTAACAGCTCTTTTCTTCTCCGCCTCTCCCTTCTTTGCTCCGTCCTTCCTCTTTCCGGTTCATTTGCCAGGCCGATGAGGAGTATTTCGGTGCACCAGGATTTCCTCAACTTGATCACCACAACAATGGGGTCAACGAACCCAATTACGGTGAGCTTCTTCTGCTTCATGTCCGCTGATACTGAAGCAACCTCTGTTAGGATACAGAAAAAATACGTGGTTCAGAAGTCGGGTTGGACACACGGAAAAGAGTGGTGAAGCGAACTGTGGCTTTACTTTCAATACTGCAAACTGCTTTCATTGCCTTGATCTTATCCTTGTCACCCTGGAGTCCCACTCTCACCACAATTCTCTGCCATCAGACCAAGGAATGAAACTACAAGCTTCGGACAAAAAGAAGAGAAGCGGAGTGCGACGTAGAGAGAAGGAACTGGCAATTGCATCGTGAAACTTTTTTCCCGATACTAATAAGTTGGAGAATTATAACTGGAACTCACCTTCATGTCCGCGGCCATCTTTTAGCCCTCTCCGCCGAGTGTTGAGACGAGGAAGGAGGCGTGGGATGAGGTGTTGCTAGAGACGGAAATTTACGTAAATATAATAGAGGGTCTTAGGAAGTTGCGAGGAAGCCGTGCGGAAACTGCTACGAATCCTTCGTCGTTTTCTGGAACCGGACTTTGAAAGGTCATCTGCCACGCGGTTCCGATGGACGTCGTCAACTCCGACGTGACACTTTCGTTGCAATCCAAATCAAATCTAGTAAATAGGATAAAAGAGAAATTATATAAAATTACATCGAAAATGATAAAGAGTATTTTTCTTATATAAGTTAAGGATACTGATGATAATTTTCTGATAAATCAAAAGAATCATAGGAATTAATTTGAAATATGATCATATAAAATTATCGATCGTTACGAAGACATGCGCCCAATCACCATATTATGATTGTAGTATAATCATCCACGTCGGTATCAGGAGCTACTAGCTAACGTTAAATGTGTCTAGTTAAAAATTCATAAATCATGTATTTAAATTAAGAAATTTAAAATCACATGAGATTCTTGGTCAAGAAAATTGGAAGCGCACTGTTATTTTGTCATATCTTAATTTCTATATATGATCAGACATAATTACTTTTTGGATTTGCAAAAGCAAGCATGTAGCATTGAATCATTCAAAACCCCGAGGTTTAGTGATGCACTCATTTCACAGGAATTCAGATAGGAAACATATGTGTAGCAAAATCGATCATCTTAAAGATAATAAAAACACGAAATCAGGTTTGGGTACCTGACTCGGACTCGGCCGAATTGGAATCCAAGTTCGGTTCGGTTCTCTCTCGTCGGCAGTGGGTCGAACCAATACAGCGTTCTAGAACCATCCATGCTTTCGCATGCATACCGACCCTATTCTGGAAATCGGATTGGCTGACACCAACGTCGACCGATCGGGTGACGTCACGTCGCTATCACCAGTCCGAGTTCGCCACGTCGCCAAACAGACCCGAATGCTGTCCTGCCCTGGACTGTCGATCAAGCGACGCTCTAGATTTACCTCTCGAATGTTCACCACCATCAAAAAATAATATTAATAGGAAATACATAATCGTTAATTATGTATACTGGTTTCAGAATACATAGGTGAATTTAAGAGAAGATAAGAGTTAATAATGTTAAATGTGGGTTTTAATGATGAGAATAGACTACAACGATCATTAGAGTCGAAGCCTCCTCTCATCTTCCTCACCGTGAAGATGCCTTTGAGTCGTCCACCAAATAATTTTAGTTGCTCGTAATATTATAAATGTAACATCTCAATTAGTTTCAAATTAAGATTGATTTATAAATATTTAATAAATATATAATTATTAATTTTAATTTAAATATTTTGATTAATAATTTAAGTTAAATAAAATTCACAGATTATTTAACCCATACAATAAATCTGAGACTCTACTTGCTTACCTCGTATCATTACTGTGGTAGCATTCCTTCATCCACGCCTCTCGTTCTTGAAGAAGATGTCAGCTGACATGAAGGTAAGTTCCAATTCTAATACATTAAAGAAGAAAGTTTGCTGCTACAGCAACAATTACCAGTTCCTTGTGTTCTTTTCCTTGGATCTCTAACAGTTGTATTCCTCGGTGTGATTGCAGAAGGTTGTGGTGAAAGTGGACGTCCACGATAACAAGGACAAGAAGGTGGCAATGAGAGCAGTTTCCAGCCTTCAAGGTGATCAATCAGACCTCTTTCTCTTTGTGTCTCGTAATCTTCCTCTTCGTGATTTTGTATCCATGGACACGAAGAACGAGATCGTTGACCCCATGAGTGTGGTGGGCAAGCTGTGAGGAAACACTGGTGCGCCGAGATGGTCGGGCCGGCAACAGATCCGGAGAAGAAGGAGGAGGAGGCCAAGAAAGGAGACCGGGAGAAGAAAAAGGATGCTGATGCCATGACCACGTACTATTACGTGCAGAGTGCCGAGGAGAACCCCAGTGCTTGATTCTCATGTTTTCAGCTTCCTCAAATGCACAGATACATTGAGGAGTCTTCGGTTGAAGGTTTTCTCTTCTCATCCTGAGGTCTAAGAATAAGGATGAATTTTCTTTTGTTTTTTATTTACCAAACGATGGGATTGGTGACAAAATGTATTATACGTCACTTTTAGGTGATGATTGGTTGGAGGAAAACAATAATAAAGGCTCGACTCAACTACAAATTTGACTTTATTAGTAGATCTGCGAATAAGAGATAAACAATAAGCTATGATTGATAGTTGATTCCATGCCTATGTGTGAAGGCAGCTGGTTGACCAACTAAAATAAGACCCAGAAATTGCAAATTGACTATTTAAGTTGAACTGGTCAAAGTCATGCGAAGATATGGTTTGACCAAATATGCCTGAAGGAGGTGCGATGTGGTCTCACGACACCCACTCGATAATTAGTTCCTTCTCGGAAATCCTCAATTCTCTGCCATCAATGAGACTTGCTGGGATTATTTCTTCTCAATTCCCACAAAAAAGGAAAAATAAATCATTGATAAAAGAAAATAAACAATCAATTACCTTAATAATTCATAATAACAAAATAAATTGTACTCCTCACTCCACTCACAATCTCATCTCCTAACCTCTTCGATCTCTTAATTCTAATTTACGAAACACTATATCTCAACTGGCTCATTTCCATGGATATCAAATCGATCCCAGCTATGATACAAAATCACGTTAAAGTTCATGCACGAAAACATAGCTTACGTGGTTCGAAGGTCAAGAAAAGAATGGCGAGGTGAACAAAGCTTTTACCTTGATGGCTGAAAACTACTCTCGTTACCTTCTTCCCTCATCCTTGTCATCGTGGAGCTCCACCTTCAACACATCCGGCTACAACCAGATCAATTAATATTATTTGGAGAGAGTGAGTGAGAGAGAGAGATGATAAGAATTACTACTGTGAAACTACAACTTGGAACGTTAGCACTCTTACATGAGGAGCGAGATGAAGAACAAGGCATGGGAGAATGATTTGAGCTAAGCATGTAAGAGTCTCAGATTTATAAGGATACTGCGAGCATCCAAGTCTTCCTTTACGAGTCAAGAAGGTGAGAGGAACTATTGGCCACTTGACTAGTCTAAGCTTTCAAGTCCTAATTTTGTGCCAATGACGAGCTTAGACTAGTCAACGGTGCTATAATCTCACCATTACCAATACATATTTAATCTAATCTTTCATTGACTTGATAGTAACGCGCTAACAACAACAATCCTCGCATCTTGCGTTGTTCACGTATCATTTTAGCATTACATATTTTTCCGTATAAATATTAATACAGTATTAATATAGTGCAAAAATATTATATTATAGTATTTTTAAGTACCAAACATAGTATTTTATCAAATTTATATTAAAATACTATGTTATAATATACTTGTATTGCGCTATAATATATTATTATTATTATTAAAAATACAATAACATAGTGTAAAAATATTATAGTTGGATTGACTGACCTAATGGAACGGTCATAGAAAAATGAAAGAAAAAGAAGATCAATCAAGTGAAGAAGAATATTCCTAAGGAAAAAAAAAAAGAAAAATATGCCCATACAAATGTATGGCTGATAGACGTCCAAATTCACAATCAAGGTGTCAAAATCAAATACCAATAGTTTCCAAAGTGAGACAAAGAGGAAAAGTACACAAAAGACCGGAGAAAAGTCAAAATTAATTAGCTTATTATGGTTGAGAGTTATAATTTCATGAAATGTCTCACATAATCATAATCAATAGAATTAATTATTTGTATCCAAATAAGGATTAAGGAAATCCAGTTGTAGGTTAAAATTATTACAAATCAACTCCGGACTCATTTGGCTATGGTTTCCAAAAAGGGAATTCGTTTCATTAAGATTTCACATAATTCCTTCATGTACTTTAAAGAAACTTGGATAAGATGTGAAAAACAAGAATAACATATATAATATTTATCATCAATTCAATTCCAAAACTTAAAATTATTAAGTTGTGAGTCGAATCCAATACATGTCATCGGTTTTCACTCTTTCTAATCTCTCATCTCATATGAATATTATATTAAATAATATCAAATAAAATAATTTATATTAAACAATTAAAAAATCAAAGAGAAGAAATGTTTGGTAACGTATTCTTTCTGGGTCTCTCACACATTTTGACTAGTCAAACATTTAGTACGCTGCCATACACGACTTTGCAACCCAAGTGGGATGTATCGGTGATAGCTATCGCGTCTGTATTATATTGGACGCAGATGTCTGCATCCAATTAGTTTCTAGAGATATTGGTGATGTGGTCGGTCCAAAGTAAGCTGACCTCAGCCAAACACGTCCCAGTCCAGTGTGGGTCCCTTTTGTGGCCAATTGGAGTTCGCCACGTCCGCAAACGGATTGGTATGCTGTCTGGGCCTAAACTGGCGATGGGCCGGCACTTACGTCATCTTCAATATTTCGGACCACCGAAAATAATTAAAAAAAGATAAAAATAAAGAAAATTCACGTCGGTGAACGGAAGACTCGATTATGCAGTGTGGTGGTCCACTTCTTGAATATGTGGAATTATTATTGACTTGACCGGGGTTGACTTTGTGAAGTGGGTGATAACATTGATGTGGGAATCAGATTTGGATGCTTTTCGAATTAATTTATCTGTACTCTCTCATTATCGTCGAAAATAAATAAGCATAAGCTTTTGGGATTAATCATTACTCAAATAAATCCTTTATGCTTTTGGGATTAAGCATAAGCAATGGTTGCAGTCGCATTCTATCTGGTTTGAATAGTTTATCGAGATTATTGTGGGAAAAAAAATTTATGTTGTAGTGTGGCCGGGGAATACCATATCATCTCATCCCATTACGATATCTTAAACGTATCCACGTATCCACATATCGTATATGGATGTCAAGTGAGATTGATTGATGTTTACGTATCATATATGTAAATAAGATGTTTAGACTTGAATCGAAGCTTCTCAAAATTTTGGATTGCAAGATACAAAATTAAGTAAAACTATGTTAAGTCGGATTTTGGAGTTAATAGTTGAGATATCGGGCAATGAGAGAATTCAAGTCGAGATCACGTAGAAAATTGTTGGGGGCATACCTTAAAAGTTCTCTCTAATGCTTAAATCATTAAAGGGGATCGGAAAATTTAAATAAGTATCAAAATCTAATGTGAATATGCATATCATTCAATCATTAATGGGCAGTAAGATTATGTACCGAATTGTTTGAGGCATAATTATGAGATAAGATTACATACCACATGTCTAGTTGTGGGATTGGGTTGACACTCTAATTGATGCCACGTTACTAACTATATGGGATTATGTTCTATCTAACATATCAAATCGAATGGATATGATATGTTGACAATTGCTATATTATAAATGCATCGCATATCAACTAGGATATGATAACACATCAAATAGACATGTCATTCCCTAATAAGTATACTTTCAATAGAGAATAACAAAAATCAACTAAAATAGAGTCGTTAATCCTATTACAAGCCCAGTACATACTGTGCAAATCATGAATAAAACCGAAAGATATGAATATATACAAGCATTACATCGTATATCTTATTTACTGTTTTATCTATGATAGTAGTCACATTCGATCTCTTGGGATTATTATAGAAGAAGGCTTTTATGTTAGGGTGTGGCTAACGAATGCCATCTTATCTCATCCCATTATGGTATCTAAAACGTATCAATCTATTATATACAATGGACGTCAAGTGAGATTGATTAATATTTATACATTATATATGTAAATAAAATATTTGGTCTCTAAGTTAAATCTTTTAAAAATTTTAGATTTTGAGATACAAAGTTAAATAAAATCGTGTTAAGTTGATTCTAATTGAGGGTTTAAAATTGAGACTCCTTAAAAAATTATTAGGGGCATGCCTAAAAAATTTCTCTAATCATATGAGATTGAGTTCCGTGGAACGTGTCGATTGAATGGATATGATATGTTGATAATTGCTACATTGTGAAGTAAGGAATCAACTCATTTCAACATGAGTATTATATAACTAATGATGATCATATAAGATAAATATTATATAAAATAATATCTTTAGGTATATTTTTATCCTGAATTTATTAAATTAAAACAGAATGATATGATTCTTAGTAAGTTTTTTTTTTTCTACAACGAACATATATTAATTTAACCATCAGATGAGTAATGGACAAACTTCTTCCCTCTTTCGAACATGGCAACAATAAACAAAAGATCAATTTGATCCTATTAAATTGATGACTATCGTCGCACTCTATTAATTACCTTAATCGTAGTTTTAAGGTGACATCACATATCTATATATTAAATATTTTAAGTCCAAATTATTGATTTATGAAGGTAAATAAAAGGATTTATGTTAAAAGGTGTAGGGGCAAGTGAGTCATTCAAGAAAATAGATGTTTAGGATCCACAAGATCGAAAGAACCAATTGAGTCAACAAAGTCATTGTTAGATGATATAAATCAGCTAAAGAATTAATTATGTTCAATTTTTGTTTGCTAATGTTGAGGGTAGGGTGACAACTGTTTCGGCGGCTGCCAAGCCCCGTTGGCACGAGGAAGAAGAAGAGCCCTCCCCTCACCTTCCTCACCCAAGGAGACTTTGACTCGCACAGTGCGAAGACTTGGCTGCCCGCACCACTATAAATCCGAGACTCCCTCCTCACATGCTTACCTCACATCGTTCTCCCCGAGGCAACCGGTAGTCCCAATACCGTGTTCATCTCTCCTCCTGTCAGTTCAGAGTCCTAAAGATGTCCGCAGAAGCGCAGGTAGGTTCCAGTTCTGACTTCTTCTTCTCCTCTACCTCGCTCTCTGCGTCTGTTCCTTAACTGGATCTGCGTTAAGGCTAATATATAGATGTATTCCTTGGCATGATGGCAGAAGGTTGTGGTGAAAGTGGACGTCCACGATGACAAGGATAAGAAGAAGGCGATGAAAGCAGTTTCCAGCCTTCAAGGTAATCGATCGGACCTCTTTCTCTGTGTATCGTACTATTCTTCCTCGTAAACTTATAATTCTGTCTGATAATAGGGATCGATTCGATATCTATGGACATGAAGGACATGAAGCTCACTGTAATCGGGATCGTTGACCCGATTGCTGTGGTGGGCAAGCTGAGGAAACACTGGTGCGCCGCGATAGTCTCAGTCGGCCCGGCGAAAGAGCCGGAGAAGAAGAAGGAAGAACCCAAGAAGGAGGAAGAGAAGAAAAAGGATCCTAATGAACTGACCGCAGAGCTCATCAAGGCATACAAGGCTTACAATCCTTGTATGACCACGTACTATTGTGTACAGAGTGCAGAGGAGAACCCCAATGCTTGCGTGATTATGTGATGGCAGAAAGAGTTGAGATGATCAGAGGAGTTGTCCGGTGAATGATTGGGTTGGGTATAAGAAAATTGATGAAGCTATAGATAGGGATTTGGATGTTTTAAGATATCGAAGTATTTTTATTGGTCTATATTGAGGGTGTTCTTCCTATGTCGGAAGGTTTTTGATTGACATCAATCTATTGAGGTCAGTTTCTCTTTTGTAAGTGATTTGGAGTGCTTTTGCTGCAATTTAGATCTTAATACATGGATCGTAAATTGGTGAGCATCTCAATTGTGCTTGGATTGCATCATTAGGAGCCTTTTGACCAGTTAATTGGCACTGCTTCTTCTCATTTGTGGACGCAGTTGGTGGAAATATTAATTTATATTACAGCAAAAAAGTTGCATTTTGACTTGGAGGCAGTCGGTCTCTGCCGCCCACTCCTAAGAAGTCTTCCTCAGGAAGAAGTCAATAGTTAGGCTTGTGGTTGTGTCTGCTTCTCCAAGAGAGAGCAAACCCACACTGAGGAAATAGATTTAAAATTATCAAATAATAGTATAAATAGATTTAAAATAAGAAATCAATACGAAAACAATATTATAATTTCATTTTTTTTATAAATTAATGTAAAAAAACTATCAAATAATAGTATAATTAGATTCAAAATAAGAAATCTATATGAAAACAATATTATAATTTAAAATTTATTTTTACTAATTTAATAATAATTAATTATACTAGTATTTTAAAATATTAAAAAAAATTAAAATAGACGACTCTGTTTCGAAACCAAAATTGAAATTAAAATATATAACTTGGGCAGAAAACAATCAGTTAAAATGAAAATATACATAAATAGACTCAAAATAGAAAACAAATATGAAATCCATCACATCAGATATAAAGAAATAATGTGGTAATTTCTGATACACAACGAACCCAAATCGGCTTCAATATCCAACCAACACACTCAAACCACACGCAATAAAACTTAAAAGGACTTCATGTTTATTTAGCAGCTTTAATCGCCAAACCATAACTAAACCACACGCAAACCCATTATTATGCTGCAAGAACAGAGCGGCCTACCGCGAACCCTGCGCTCAGCAAACGCCGCTGGTCTTCTTACGATCCACCAATCGCTTCCAGTATCTGGCGATCTCCTCGTACGTCTGCTTGACGCTCTTCTTGGGGACGACGGCGCCGCCGCCGTCCGGGTTCTCCTCGGCTTTGACATGGGTGATCATGGTGGCTTTCGTCCACCGGTTTTCCAAGTCTGTCAACACCTTCTTGATGTCCGTCACGAGGCGCTCCGCCAGACTCCGGCTGAAGTCCTCCCTGATCACCACGCGGAGCACCGCAACATGCTCTGCGTCGGCAGGCATGGTGTACGCGGGAACGATCCATCCGAACCTCCTCAAGGTCTCCGATACGTCGAAGACCGTGTACTTGCCGCTGTCCTTGAGTGAGAATGCCACGAGCGGCACACCCACATCCTTGGACACAATGTCGAATGTCTCTGTCCCCTCGATGCCCGCCTTCAACACCTTGGCATTCTCCATACAGTTTTCCATGATATTTCTGAAACCCTGCCAAAAACCAGAATGCAGAATAAATCTTCCTAATGGTTACAAGGAGTCGAGATGCTTCGGAATATGTAATTTATGGTAAACTAATCTCAGAATTCTCTGAAGCAGAAAATAGAATCTCGACATTAATGAAGAACATATGTTCAGTATTTTAGATACCTCAAAGCCCAAGCGTATAAACTGGTAGTACTGTGCAATGATCTGACTAGATCCTGCAGGAAAAAGAAGATAGAATAGTTTCCATCAACAAATTTTCCATGCCAAACATCACATTCAGTGAAAGTTACATTTACAATGAAGAAACTAATTAACATACCTTTAGAAAAGTTGAGAGTGAAAGTAGGTTGATCTGCACCAAGATAATTAATATGGAAAATAAGCTCTTCAGGTAAATCCTCTTTGTTCCTCCAGACAACCCAACCTACTCCAGCATAAACCAAGCCATATTTGTGGCCGCTGACATTTATGCTCTTCACCTGAGGGAGCCGGAAGTCCCACTCTAGTTCAGGATAGAGGAAAGGCGCTATGAATCCCCCACTTGCAGCATCGACATGTATGGGTGTGTCCCACCTGCAGATCATTGGACAAAGTTAATTCTTCTATATCATGGTTTTTTTCCATCTCTAAAATGACATGTACCGGAGCTGATATGAGCCATTGCCACAAAAATATCAAGAGCTGGGAAAAAATAATAGGAACACAAACTAACGGGTCAATCTGCTATGAGGTTAGAACAATCGACATGCTGATTTGTCCATTTGTAAGTTTATCCTCAAGACCAAATGGAAAAAAGAATGGTCGATCACAAGGTTATGCAAGAAACACAAAGCTTTTTAGGTGAATATTGTGTGGCAGTCCGGTGTAACTACAAGACCAAATCAACTCACCCAGTTTCTTGGTTTTTTTCTGTCAGGAGATCATTTAGAAGCTTAACATCTTCAAACTCTCCAGTGAGAGTTGAACCCAAGATGGCAGCAACACATATCGTATTCTCATCAACCATTTCTACTGCCTTGGCAGGATCCATTACATAATATCCCTCTTTCAACTTCACTTCTTTCAGTTCAACTTCAAAATACCTTGCAAATTTCTCCCAGCAAACCTACAGATCAAATGATATATATGAAACAAAATTACAAATGAAAATTTGGTGGATGGCATGGATACTCAAAATGAGCCAAGGATGTTACTACCTGAACATTTGCACCGGTAACAATGTTGGGTTTGTCGTAAGGCTTCTCCTCTGCCTTTCTTTTGTTCTGCCATTTCCTCTTGAATGCAAGTCCTGCAAGCATGATTGCTTCTGAGGAACCCACAGTTCCAACTCCAACAGCCGTTTCGTCTTCCCCAATTGGGGCATTGAAAAGGTGGGCTATCATATTTACGCAGCGATTCTGCAAAAGATACCAATACCCATAAATTCAATTGGTAGCATGATTCTCACATCCAAAAACAATCATATAAGCTATATCATGTATCATGGTAAGAACTATGCTAAAACTTAATCGACAAAGGTGAAGGAAAATTCCTGCAATACTCGTAGAATCAGAAAGAACATTGCAGTAAATCTACTGCAGAATAACAACTCCAGTGTCAACAATTCCAACAATAACAAGAAGGTATTGTTCTTAGTGTTGGGATCAATTGCATAGATCCTCTGTTTCCATTTACCTCTATATGGGACAACAGTAGGCTTCCGAACTCTTATCCTATATGATCCAATCGGTGAACCTGATTCCTTTCTCAATTGAGATAGAACTGCGGTGAAATGGAATATAATTCCATGGGATCCTTATAAAGGGTTAGCTTGACCCTTGTTGAAACTAATCAACTGATAGCCATTGGCCTATTGAAAGATCTAAAAGACCATTTGAAGATGCAAAAAAACACAAAACAGAGTTCTACGCCTCTACAGGATCCAATTTGTCCAATTACTCGAGACAAAGTCCTCGAACAACAATTTGCATTTCCATCATTGCTCAATTACCTTTCTTGTTTGAGGTTCTCCTACCCTGTTACATGGAGTTCCCGAATAGAAACCACTGGTCCAGAAAAGAAAGGAACTAAGTGCTTAATCTCCACTTCCACTTGTAGCACTCAACAGATGGTTGCTCTCAAGGAGGACCGGTGTCAGGGAGGCATTCCCGTGTCAGTATTCTCTCGACCACCTTCAGATAACACAGACCTCTGCCATGTACCCCCAGTAACGAGGATTATTATGCAGGAGAAACGATCTGATCTACCAGATTGGCTTTAAATAGACAAACAAATAGAACCAAATGATGTACTCAACAAAGAGTTGAGACTACAAAGCAAATCGCTGCCTCACCTGGAGCTCGGTGGTGACGGGGTACTCGTCCATGTCGACGTAGTTCTTGTTGACGGCCGCCATGATGAGGCGATCGCACTCCGGCTCCATCCACGTCGTCACGAACGACGCCAGATTCAACCGCGGGTTCCCGTCGAGCATCAGCTCGTCGTTGATGATCTGGTACGCCGCATCCTTGGGGATCGACTGCTCCGGTATCCTGAACCTGTCATCGGCACCGCAAAATCACACAAAAAAGAGGATCAAATCCAAATGACGATGATCATAACTATCAAAGAATCAAAGACAAATTATAAACCGGGGAAGAGCCTCGCGAACGTATCGCGAAGCGAATGTATAAGCGACCGAATCATCGGCATCAGATGCTACCGCCGAGAGAGTCATCGGCTAGAGATTGTATCTTCCTCTCTTCCTTGAATGGCTGGTATACTTCGATTAATATAGACATGAGTGATCGCTTATGGTTTCTTTCACGCATTTGTTGCGGAAAATGACGAAGGAAAGGAACAAAAGCTTGCAGCCCAAGGAAGGCGACATGAACCTGGGAAGGGATGCCCGGACGTATCTGGAAGCGAACGTGGAATGCAGCGATTCGCCGGTGTCCAATTTCGTGGTGGTCACCGCCATTCTACCAGGTGGTCGGGGTTGCGGAACAACGAAGGGTCTTCTCACCGATCACTGGGTCAGGTGGGTGGGTCATGAACGTTTAAAGCGTAAGGGATCAGGAAGGGGCGGCGAGTGAGCCGGTGACGCGTGGTGGAGATGGCCCGTCCGCGGCGCATGGGTGGTGCCTTTGACGCGTGGTTTGGGGACCTGGGCTAAGACGCTTTCTTTACATCTACATTAAGATTCCCGAACATATAAATCAAGGAATCTTGGCCGTCTATATTTCGATTGGGGATTGTTGTAGTCGAGTTAGGGACGTGACGATAACGGTTAGATGAGATCAAGTGGAGAAGATTGCTTTTGTTTACGTCTGCAGCATTAAGATTCCCGAATATGTAAAGCAAGAAATCGTAGCCGTCCATGTTTCTGTCCACAGCTTAATCTTAAATGACTTTGTTGACGTTAATTATCTCCGCGTTTAGTGATAGATGTAAATTGTCATGTTTCGAGTCATTCAAACATTTATAGTCACATTGTTGTGTTGATTACGTGATGCAGTCCACTAACGTATTGAGTTGACAAGGTGGATGAAGTGTCAAATCAGTGATGACATAGCGTTTGGGGTTCATGTGTCAAACTCTTCATATTAATAGCTTATATATTTTGCATATATAAATTTTCATCAATTGGACTAATCAATAATGTTTAGTTTTTTTTTAAATATAAATAAATCATAAACAAAAAATATTTTAAAAAACAAA